CGTATCTTGGAAAAACAATTACACATTCCTCTCCACTGTTGAGGAATGCGCTAGACTCTCTGCACTAGCCCAAGACATATTAACTAGTGAAACAATTACTTATCATGCTTCACATAGACTACAACACTTTCTAATATGCATTTTAAACAAAACACGTGTTTTAGAAGAAAACCAAGCAATTACTGAAATTGAATATCGTGACCTGAAAATTAAAGAATTGGAACAAAAAGTCGATCACTTAATGAACGCCTTACATGGAGAACCATTTAAGGAGCAACGTAAAAGACATAGGCGCCGTTCTTCGGCTTCTACAAACTCTGACAATGAACAACTTGAACCTGCCATTAAAACCGCAAACAGATTCAGTGGACTCGAAACAGAAATGAGTGAAATTAACATAGACAATGATGAGGAAAAAATGGAAAATGAAAGTGAGGGTACACCTAATCCGGCGGCCCCAGAGCCCTCGAACAGTAGAAAAATCAGAGTACCGCCAATTATTATAGATGATGTCCCTCAAGCTGATAAATTCCTGGCCGATCTCAGTGTTAAGACAGGGAGAAAACAATTACAGGCCAATTAAAAGGCACCAAATTGCATGTGACTCCCCCTGATGCAGAGGCTCACAGATATGTAAAGTGACTGGCGTTCGTAGGTTTTTGCCATGAACTAATTCTGCTGGTGTGAAACCAGTGTTTTCGTGCGTGACTGTTCTGAGAGCAAAAAGATCTGATGGTAGATAATTCTCCCAATCCGAAGTCGCATACATACGATCTTAACACCCTTTTCGTTCTATGGAATCGCTCAACGGGATTACTCTGCGGATGATACACAGAGCTTCTTACATGTTTAATGCCGAAACGCTCCAAAAATTCCTCTGTTAAAGCACTGACGAAAGAGGTCCCCTGATCTGTTTGGATCACTTTTGGGAAACTCATACGACTGAAAATCTGTAAGAAAGCATCAATCACAGATGGCGAAGAAATGTCTGTCACCGCAACAGCATCTGGATATTTGGACGACATACACAGAGCTGTAATAATATTTTTTTTTTCAGTCTTTGAGATAGGTAGCGGACCAATAGCATCGACATTTATTTTAGTGAATATTTCGTAAATTACTGGTACTAATGTCATTGGAGCCTTCTTTTTGTCATTTCCTTTTCCAGCGCGCTGACAAGCATCACAGGCTCTTACAAAATCTTCAGTTTCTTTGTAACACCTCGTCCAGTAAAAATATCTAGCAAGTCTGTCTTTGGTCTTTTTGACACCCAAATGACCAGAAATTCCTTCGTGGCACATCTTTATAATTGACGGCTTGAGTTTTTCAGGTATAACTACAATCTGTCATTCAAAGCCCATTTTATCCGTCGTTTTTTTTAACTAGAAGCTCTTTTCTTGTCAGACTACAGTTCTCATTTTTGCGTGTACCTTCTTTAACTTCTTTGATGACTTTAGACAGTTCCTTATCAGTAAGCTGAAGTTGTGCAACTTCTTCTGAGTCAATGTTTACCAGCTTCATGAGAGCTTCATCTTCCGTATTTAGTTCAGGTAAATTATTTTCTTCTTCAAAAACATCTTTGGATGCTTTATTTTCTTCCTCAATCGTTGAGCTCTAGTAGAGACAGCATTAACCTGGTGAGGACAACTATCAGGCTCCTTTCCTTGTTTATTCATCAGTGCAAAAGTTTGATTGCCTAATAAATACCTTCCTTTGTCGAGTTCATTTCTAATAATGGTAGCCTTAGTTATTAATCGCCCAAGATCGCAATTTAGTTCGATCTCAGCCAATGGTAAACAGGTTGGATTCAAATCTAATGGCTGGTGCACCCACACATTTTCGCCTGTCAGCATTTCCGGCGTGATGTATTTGCGACAAACTATATCAATACTATCACCTGAATCCCTTAATATAGGAATTTTATGACCATTTACGTAACCCATACTAGTATAAGGTAATAGAAATTTATCCTCTGGTTTTGCGCTAATTCTGTTAAGATTAGCCGGAGATTCAGTACTATTCTTAAGTTTTGGACATTGCGGTCTTAAATGTTGACAGAACCCACACTGATAGCATTGTGGCGTTCACACTGATAGCATTTGTTTTTCATATTTATCATCTGGACGTGGATTTCTAGGTCTATGAAACCAGCTTTGCGTATTAAATCCTGATACTTTTTTTTTCAGTTTTATTTTTATTATCTGAACTCAATTTACCTTGAGTTACTGCATTGTACTTTCTTTCTGCCGATCCACTACAGGCCTTTTTTGAAAGTTTCCGCAAACGTTTCCATGGGCATCAAGTTTTTCAGCTAATTTTTTAGATGAAATCATCTCTACCCACTCATCAAGAAAATGATCTCGAATTTCAGGAGGAACTCGACGTTTAAGTTGGTCAATCACCATCAAATCTAGCAACTGATCAAAAGTCTTAACTCCTAGACCAGTCACCCATTCTTTGCAATAATTTTCTATTTCATAATTGAAATCCATCCATGTAGATTCGGTTTTCTTTTGATGTTTCATAAATTTCTGCCTAAACTTTTCCGGACTTAGTTTAAACCGTCTTAACAATAAATTCTTCACGTGTTCATAGTCTTTAGCTTTTTCGGAGGGTTCTCTAGCTATTAACTGGGTTACTTCGTAAGGAAGTAGTCCTAGTAAATGAGATACAAATTCTTCTTTATCAATTTTAGCCCATTCTGCTTACCTTTCAAAGAATAGCAAATATAGACTGATATCTCCTTTCTTGTCATCGAATTTCTGCATAAGGTGACGCAGCTCCGTTTTCGGCCGGATCTGTCCGGTATTTTGAGACTTAATCTGCTTCAAATCTTAATCTGTCTAATTCATACTGTTCGTTCCTTCCCCGCTCTTCTGCTTCTTCCTGTCTTCTACGTTCTTCTCTTTCCCTTTCCTCCCTCTCTTTCCGTTCTTCTCTTTCCCTTCCTCCCTCTCTTTCCGTTCTCTCTTCATCCCTCTCTTCCGTTTTTCTATTATTGTGTCTAAGACTCCTTTGACGAATACTTCATCATAATCTCTACTTTCAACAATTTTCTGTTTTAAATTGACTATTTTCAAATCTGCAGTCACATGAACTCCCAGTTCAGCCGCGAGATTTTGCAGATCTTTCTTACGAGCTCTTCCTCAGTAAGACATTGTTTCTATGTTTAAAAATTTACGAACACTGTGGTTCTTTATACTTCCTCAAAATAGCTCAATTCAATTACTTTAATTAATTAATGCAGTCAGGAATCACGGAATTAAATGCACTCTGTTAAATACGCAAACCTCAAAAATGAAATATTTAAATTATATGAAATTCATACTCCTATCACATTAATTGTGACTAAAATAAAATAACAACATAGAGAAATATATGTCTACAGTCTGGATAGCTAAAACGAATATTAAAAATAATATCCAATATGGTAATAAAATAAGACAATTCAATATTAACAGGAAGCAATAATCTGGTATCACTAATACTATTATGTTCAGTGATGAACTAATGAAGTAAAAATACGCACGATTATTCGATCTCGCCGATGCCTCTAAAATAATTATGACTGTGATACTTCTTTAAAACTTTGGTACATGTTTACCAAAGTTGATACATGTTCTAATATGTGAAAAGTATAAAAATAAATGGCTCAAGTTTTGCCAGTTTTGAGAATTACATCTGATTTGATTAAAAGATTTAAAGTCCAAAATGGGACAAATTAATGTAATGAAAATAATTACAGATACAGAAGAAAATATGCTTATATAACCTCTGTTCTATTCAAATAAGATATGTCTTATAAAATAATATGTTCAAATAATCTGAATATCAAATTGTAATTGTTTATTATATTACAAATTGTAAAGTTATTAATGTAAAGATCTTTGTATTCATTATTGATGTTGTATTTATTTTTTATAATTAAAAGTTGTAATATTATTGATTGAATGAGTCTTATTAAAATCGAAGATATTAATGGTTATAATTTCATAATTTTGTAATCAAAATTATTATTGTAAAATATTTAGTTTTAATAAAGATATTTATTGGTGAGGCCAACGGATCTGTTACTCAGGGACGAGTACGGTATGGCGGTTTTATAAGTTATAAAAGTTTCAATAATCCCTGCATTTGCTGTTAAGGTTGAAGAATGAAAGATCAGTCTTACCAGGCAGCCCTAAATGAACTCCACCAACGGTTCTGAACCTAACCCGTATCATCTAAACAAAAATTGAAAAACTTTAGTACCACCACTACAAAGTACTACTAGCATCAGATCGCATACATTTACGAGTGTTAGAGAAAAAACTCAATCAGGATGTTAGCGTTTTAATTTTAGAATCTAATAGTTAAAAACACTTTGCTTCTTTTGAGTACCTATTTTTCTCTTGCGTATCACCGGTTGAGAACCCCTGAATTACACTGTTTTGTGATAGAATTGTATTGCGTGCTTTTCATATTTTCAGCCAGGAATAAATAGATCTCTTTCAAGTCCTGCTTTGAGCATAAAACGCTTGCGAACGAAGCGGTAGAAATCATGATTCTGCTGGGAGCTTTCAACTACAGTCTGAAATCCCTACCAGATCCTCTTATGTTTGCCGCCTGGTAAAGTCCACTAAAAAGAGCGGGTGTGGAAGAATTATTGAGGTGGGTGTTTATGTACGCACTAATGTACACTATTCGAATCACGAATGTCGCTGCCTATGCATCTAACTATCTAACGACGTATCTAAATGCCACATCTAAATTTCTGCAAGCGGTGGTTCAGCTATAATTCTATGATCAAATGCTCAATCTAGTTTTAAAAGATTTATTAAATACTAAAATTAATCTAATCTAGAATCTAGAATCGAATCGAATGTTACATCTCATGAGCAGCGTTCTAGCTGCGTCATAACAAATCGATGATAAAGTCAAGTTCTCACTGTTGCCATTTCGAGGCAGAGAAAAGTTTGTTTCTAATCAAACCGGAACTTCGGCATAGGGAAAGTTTCTAGTCAAACTGGAACATCCCGGCCCCCGTTGGACAATTGTTCAACATCATTTGGAAATTGGAGTGAACTGATATTGGAGACGGCTCGGCGAAAGATTCCATCTGAAGTTCTGACGTCTACGACTCGTACTAGTCCATCTGGACCAGGAAAGGTTTTCTCGATGCGAGCTAGAGTCCACTTCATGGGTGTCTTGTTTTTATCCTTTAACAAGACTAGTTGTCCTGCCTTGAGATTGGACCTCACTTGATTCCATTTTGAGCGGTTCTGCAAATGAGTAAGATATTCCACGCTCCAACGGTTCCAGAAATTAGCTCTAAGTTTTTGAATCAAGTCCATCTAGAAGACAAAGTCAAATAATCTAAAGAATCATTCGGTTCTAGTATCGACAAAAGTGGAGCTCCTATTAGGAAATGACCTGGAGTCAAAGGCTGAAGATCTGTTGGATCAGCCGAAATAGGTGACGGAGGTCGAGAGTTCACGCAGGCTTCTATTTGGTAATTAATGTATACAGCTCTTCAAAGTTTAACATTATCGTTTTCGCGACCTTTGTCAAAATTCTCTTCATTGATTTTATATTAGCCACCCATAACTCGCCAAAATGCGGGGGGAAAAGGAGGAATAAATCTCCATGTTATACCTTCTTCGGAACTAAAGCGCTGAATAGGATCCGATCTACAAATTCTAAAGAGTTTATCATGAATATTCTTCGTTCCCTTGAAGTTCGTAGCGCTATCACTCCAAACAATGGATGGTTTAGATCGTCTGGCAATAAACCTTCTAAGACATGCTGGAAAGGCTTCAGTAGACAAATCCGATACTACTTCTAGATGAATACCCTTTGTACTAAAGCAAATAAATATCGCGATGTATGATTTTAACGTAACTAGATCTTTTCAAATTAGGCTTGGTGATAACTGGACCTGCAAAGTCCAGTCCTATTTTTTAGAATGGTCTAGTTATTACAACTCTAGCTAAGTCTCCCATCATTTGGTTTATGGTATGGTTCCTTGTTCGAAAGCACGTCATGCATTTACTTATAACGTGTCTGACTCTATCTTGTCCGGAAGGTATCCAGTATAATTGTCTAATAAGAGAAAGTGTTGTTTGAACGCCCGAATGATGAGATTTTTTATGATAATAATCTATGAGTAATTCAGTGAAATGATGTCTTTTGGGTAAAAGAAATTGATGTTTGTGGTCTTCTGAAAGATTGGAGTAACGTAGTCTCCCACCACCTCGTAAAAGTTCATCTTCAACCAGAAATACATTTAAGGATAAAACCTTATTATTATTTGGAACTGATCGTTTCGACTGCAGGCACTTAATTTCAGGTTGAAATTCAGAATGCTGTGTACATTTGACTAGCACCTTTGTTGCATTCTGTATTTCAGAAACACTCAAAAAACATTTTTTTCTTAATGATGGATTGGTTCTACAGTTGTTCGCAAACCACCACGCAGTAGTTCTAATCAATATGCTGAATGACGAATACCTTTTAATGGATTCGTTTTCAATGGAATTTTCACCTGTGACTGTTGAGTTCACTACAGCTCCCCTTCGAAGTTCAAGCTCTTCATGATCCTTGAAATCTCTTACTGATTCTGCGAGTTTAGGACACAAATCGATGCTATGTAATAGCCACTTAGGTCCATACCACCACATGTCACTATTTCGTAGTTCAGATAACGTTTTTACTTTCGTGGAATTTGTCTTTGTTCCTCTGGTCAGCATATCAGCCGGATTTTCATCTCCAGGACTCAGGTGATGTTTTCTCTCGTATTTCCATTACTCGATGTTGAATGAATGGCTTCCATTTATTTAAATCGCCCTTTATCCAATGTAACGTAATAGAAGAGTCTGACCAAAAATATACATTCATCTGGAGTCTTTTCTCTAACTGCTCTTTCACATTCGAGGCTAATCTTGCTCCGATGAGCGTCCCCATCAGCTCTAATCTTGGAAAGGACAGCTTCTTCAGTGGAGCTACTTTGGTTTTGGAAATGACAAAACTACTTCCTATTTCACTGTCCGTCGTGACGTATCGCAGGTATATCACAGCTCCATATGCCTTCTGACTTGCGTCGGTAAAGCAATGCATTTGAATATCTCTCAATTCAGACTTGTTAGTCTTTCGGAAGTAATGTCGCGGAATGTTTACATCCTGAATCGCTGACAGTTCATTAATCCATTTTTTTCATTCGTTTTCAAAGTCCAATGGTAACGGATCATCCCAATCTACTCCAAGTTGCCAAATTTCCTGCATTAGTATTTTTGCCCTAATAGTGAATGGACTTATAAATCCAGTGGGATCGTAAAGCTTTCCAATGGTTTTAAGAACTTCTCTTTTTGTCATTAACTTTGTTTTCCCTTGATTAGTTAGATTTTGTGATTCTATCTTCAGAAGGTCTTCCTTGTAATTCCATTTATATTCCAATACCTTCTGTTCCAGAACTTTCTGGATTTCACCATTTTCGTATTCGTCAAAAACTTCCTGCAGATTCCCACAATTTGTTTTCCATTTTCGCATGTTGAAACCAGCAGCCTTCAATATATATGTAATATCTTCATATTTGAGTTTAGCTTCATTTTCGTCTTCATCCCCACCTATTAAATCGTCTACGTATAAAAATTCGTTCAATAGTTTAACTGCTTTCTGATTTGTTTCTTTACATTTGACAGTTCTGTTAAAATTCTCTAAAATATTATTATCTATTTTACTAATTGCCTTCCCTTGTTCAATTCCCAATGTTTCTAATTCCCAAAACTGCTTTAACTGTGTTGAGACCAATTTGTCATCAACAATAATGTCCATGTTTAACAATTTACCGTTAGAATCAGTCCGGCCCTGAAGGCACCATCCAAATATTGTTTCGGAAAATATAAGTTTATTTTTAAAACGTTTAAGTCTACTAGTTATTACTTCATGATAGTAATCTGCTCCGATCAAAACAGCAATATTTTTGTCACAGAATTCATAAGAATCAGCTAATTGTAGTCCTACTATGTCCTTGTTAATTTTGGAAACTGGGATATCAGGGAAAGGTAAATTAGTTGCATATATTTGGTTAGTTTCTAAAGCTTCAATTTCTATATTTAGGGATGGTTTACTTCTGTTTTCTAGTTTAACTTTCACAACATTGTAAGTTTGTTCTGTTGCCTGGTTAACCCCAAAGGCAAATACGGACAAAGTCTCCTTTCGAATAACAGGTAATTTACACTTCTCTGAAATGTCCCGAATTATAAAACTTCTCATCGATCCATTGTCTAATAGAATACGAACTGGTTCTAAATTATCCTTCTCAGAAAATGGACGTATCATCACAGTACACGTTTGTAGCAATGCACTGCGGAAAGTTTCGGTTTTTAATTGACTAATCTGAAACATCTTCTTTACTGGATGGAATTGTCGACACGACCCTCGTTTTTCCTCCGATTTGGTTTCGAGTTGGAAACAAATAGACCTATTGTGTTTTTCTTTACATATTTCGCACATTTTTCTTTCCTTACAATGCTTAATTTTGCTGATGCTGAGTTTTAGGCACAAAAAACATCGGGCTTGAGATTTTAAAATATTTCTTTTCTCCTCCACGGTTTTAATTTCGCAGCGCTCCGAATCGTGTAGTTCGTCACAATATATGCATTTACTGCTAGCGACTGGAGCAGCATATTCATACGTTTTAGGCGAACTTCTTTCAAACTGTTTACTGCGCTTGTTGTTTGCATTATCGTGAGCTGAGTGGAGACGATCGTTTGATTTATGCCTCCAGTTATGAATCATTTCCGCTCGGTGTTTTGTTTTTGTTTCTCTACTTTCATTTAACTGCGTAGCTCTTTCGCGGCTTTCTATTTCTTTACGAATAAATTCCTTTAATTCGTTAACGTTCCATGTTTGGTCACTGTTTCTACTGCGACTGTATTCTAATGTTATCTCTGATGGAATTAATTTTAACAATATTGGGCAAAGTAAACTACCGTAAGTTTCTGATACGACGTTCATTGACTTTAAGCATCTAATTTGAGTTTCACACTGATCATTATAAATTCCTAAGATTTTCTATATATCCCCTATATTTCTAACAGGGGAAAAGATTTAACAGTTTAAAAGTTATTCATGTGAGCATTTATTACCAAATCTTTTCTTCCAAACCTATTAATTAACAGTTCTATAGCTGAATCGTAGTTCTCATTTTGTAAGCGAAAGACCGGAAACGGCGTTATAAGCTACCCCACCTAGTAATGACTTTAAGTAACTGAACTTATTTACTTGCGATAATGAGTCATTGTTATGGATAGCTGCCTCGAATTGACTCCAAAATTCCTGCCAATTGCTAGAATCACCAACAAAAATTTAGCGATAGTCAATTTTGGAAGGCGAATAATTTTATTATTTTCAAGTTTGGAATCTATAGCGGTTTCATTAGGAATGCTCATACTTTCCTTATTCGAATTTTAGAGTTTGTGTAATTCCCTTCAATTTTTTCTTGCTCTAAATTGCCACAGTTGGATTTTTTCTTCATATTCTAGAGCGGATGAAACTTCAAGTTCAAATTCATCCTCTGGGACCTTCAAATCCTGTTCTATTTGAGTGTTTAAATCACTCAGAGTTTTCGTTTAATATCTCTAAAGTTTCTTCTATTACATTTATACCAACGTCATCTTTGTTTAATTCTGTCTCAATTTTCTTTAGTACCTTGGACACTGCGGTCCTTAATACTCTGCGTTTCGATTTAAGCTTAGCGACAGGATCTTCCATAATTACACTTTAAATAGAAAACTTATCCTACCTGTTTTTTGCAGGCTTCGACACTTCACACCGTGCTAATCCATACTTACGAATCCATATTTTCGAATATTAACCGGCTTCCCGGCATGTAGCACCAAAAAATGTTTATATACGCACTAATGTACACTATTCGAATAACGAATGTCGCTGCCTACGCATCTAACTATCTAACGACGTATCTAAATGCCACATCTAAATTTCTGCAAGCGGTGGTTCAGCTATAATTCTATGATCAAATACTCAATCTAGTTTTAAAAGATTTATTAAAATACTAAAATTAATCTAATCTAGAATCTAGAATCGAATCGAATGTTGCATCTCATGAGCAGCGTTCTAGCTGCGTCATAGCAAATCGAAAGTCAAGTTCTCACTGTTGCCATTTCGAGGTAGAGAAAAGTTTGTTTCTAATCAAACCGGAACTTCGGCATAGTGAAAATTTCTAGTCAAACCGGAACAGTGTGTTTAACCGATGGGGATCGAGTTGGAGACCAAAGAACGTCTATGTAAAGGAGGAAAGGCTCCATAGACGTAACGTAAACCAGTTTGCCTTCTACGCCGCTAGAAAGAAGAGGGAAAATTAGCCAAGGTATTTGGCGACGGAATCTATTAACGAGAATTCCCCCTTCTGTGATGTACCGGACTTGGCCGAGATTTTCATCCTCCGCCACGTGTACAGGAAATTGAAGGACACAGGTTAAGATGAAGGAACTACTCTGATATGCGCCCTCAAGTCGCCAAATTTCTCGCCAAATATTTTTGGCGAGAAACTTCCCGCTGCCATATTACTATCTAAATTTTTGTCTACATTTTGAACTTTTAGCCTAAAATGTCTCCAAAAACGCGGTTTTCGCACATGCAAAAACTACGTTTTGAACACACAATTTAGCTAAAAATCCGAAACAAAAACAAAAAATTTAGATAGCAAAAACGTAAAGTTTCTAACCAAAAATATTTGACAAGAATCCATGTACACAGCGACATGTTTTAACTTAAAAAAAAACATCTACGAATTGCACAATGTAGGCAACGAACGAATCTACAAACTACGCACACCTCGCTTTAATAAATTAACATAACAATAATAAATTTCAAAGAATACCCATGTACACAGCATCCTTGTTTAAACTTAAAAAAAATTCTACGAATTGCACAATTTAGGCAAGGAAGGAATCTACGATCTACGCACTCCTCGCTTTAATAAAATAACATAACAACAATAAATTTCAAATAATACCATGTACACAGCGTTCTGTTTCAACTTTAAAAAACATCTACGAATTGTACAGTCTATACACTAATCAACAAAATAACTAAAATAAATTTCAAACAATTCAAGAAAACAACAATAACGACAGAAATTCATACTGAAAAAAACAATGAACATAACATTCTACAAAATAAGAACAAGACTAAAATAAAATGTACTTACCATGAATTAATGCGTTTTCGAATAGCAGAAATATAAATTTCACTCCGCCTTTAACATGCCGCCACGTAATCACTATCGTATTTACACGACAGCCAGACACACTATCCAGAAAATTTATACTATGGTTCACAAATAAATAAAATCACAAATCCCTACTTCTATCATGCACTGCCATTAAAAATAATCTCCCAGACCCTCTTTCCACACTTCCAAATACCCACTACCCCTCAACAGGATAGCCACAATCATATTTCCTTTTGCCGAACTTCAATTCAACAACTACCATTTTATCTTTCCCTCCCATCTTCTCAGACACAGAGGCGAACCAACGAGCTCCAGTGAAAGAATTTTCAACGTCAACAGGTTTGCCATAGAACACGCAATCGCGCCCAAACACCAGCGCAGAACACATATCGCCACATTTGGTGAAATTAGGGCGTATATTAGAGTTGTACCAAGATGAATAAGAAAATTATATAAAGTTTCACTTTCACTGGCTGTTGAACTTTCATTATCCATATCGCAGTTTGATGTCTTATTTCATATCCGTCAATAAGGGGGGGGATGACTTTAAACTCTTGATAAACGTGACCGTGGAACCTGTTCGAACTTCGACATCAGCTTCAAGCTTTGGCGACAGATGTTTCACGCTTCCGAAGCTGTTTCCCTTTTCGTTCGAAGGGAGCCACTCCTGCTGCTGCGAAGTTTTCCTTCTTAACAATACATATTCTTTGTTGGAGACAATTCGAACAGAATCATTCCTCTGCACATGGCTCTATTCAGTGAGGTTGGAGCTATGAACCTTGAGCATTTGAGATTCGATATTTTTCAGGTAACAGACCATTTGTAGTTTTCAAAATCATCGTTTATTTTCGTAATTTAAGATTTTCTTTGCTTATTCTTTAATTTATTTATCAGATTATTTATTCTATGTTCTTTTCAAATTTAATTTCTGTATATGAGTATTTCAGAACCAATTAAATCAAATATTACTGTTGTTCATTATTGATTTTGAGTACAAATTTGTTTTTGCAGAATAAACGGAGAAAGTATATTTTGCTGTGTTTTTAGGCTTGGGCTATTAAAGCAATTCTAACCGTATTAAATATTATTGCTCTTTTTCTCTGCTATTAAGGTATTAAGTGCCATTTATGAAGCTTATATATTGAATATTGTTTTTATCCTTTGTTAGTTACTTGGTGTCATTAAAGCATTCCAAAAATAAATAAGTATAGCTTTTTTTTTTTTAGGTGTAATAATTTTAGTTCTTGTGTTTCTACTAAGAGTGCCATTTTTTACTTTTCGGATAGCTGAAGTGTTTCAGAACGAATTTATTATTAATGGTTTTTTTATGTGTAAAAACTTTGGTTTTGTGGTATCTACTTTGAGTACCAGTTTTAGTTTTCATAGAGACTCATGTACGGGAAACTGAAAAGCATTCTTTTGCAAAACTTTTATTGAAGCATGGTTAATTTTTTGTGTTATTGAGGCATTTCAGAACTATACAGAGTTACTGATATTTCTGTATAAAAACTCTGATGGAACAGTGTGAAATAATTAATTCATATATTAAGTATCTGTCGTTTTGTTCGATAACACAATTTTACCTGTCATGAACTAAACCTTTTATTTATTTATTTTGACACGTTCTAAAAAGTCTTTGTTCTATTTGATTTTAATGCCTTACTTACATCATCCAATACTGCAAATTCTGTTTTTCATAATGCTTATTTTCAATTTTCCTTTCACTTCTCTCGTAATTTTTCTCTTTCAGGAATGTTCTAATATGCTTAAATAATAATAGATGTGTCAGTGTTTCTACCAATATAAATCAATAACTTAGTATTATATGTATATATTTATGCTTAAGATCTTTTTTAAGCATTCTTGCATAATGAAATTTTCAAGAACTTCGCTTTGATGTTCGATAATCTTTTATTTACAGTTATTTATTTACACGTGCTCACTTCCAACATTTTAAAATATTTTATCACATAAACTTTAAATAAGGGTTTATCTACATCATTTACTGCATAAAAGTATTTAACGTTTTTTCTGAGAAAATATCTGCCATATTACTCGTAATAATCCGTAAAGTATCTTAAAATATATATAAATAATTTTGTGCAGTATTCATATTTAGGCTGCGTGATTTACATAGAAAAAAAAAAAAAAAAAATAACAGGAAATAAAGTTAATCATGAGACTAAGTGTTTTTTGTGATGATTGCCTGTGTTGAAGAATATACATTCAGCTCGGTGGAAATTGTCATCAAATTGTCCTTAACAGGCTTTTTGTTGATAATGACTTCTCAGCTTATCAGTGTTCAACTCAATAAAGAATATGTAAGATTCAATAAACTTAAAAACTGCATTTTCTTTGGAGTGAATGTTGAAGACTTTAGAATGTATTTCACTGTAACGCAATTTTTATGTATAATCTGTAGGCTACATTGTTTATTTATATTACGTATGTGTGTTATTTTTCTATCTTGGAGAACTCCTTAATATTGTCTGCATCTGTCTGTCTGAATAACAAATAGAGTAAGTACCTTGAAACAGCTCATATACTTTCTCTTCACAGGGGCCCATTAGTGCCTGAGTGGTGAAGTCATTGAACACCGATAGTTTGATTCTAGGCGAGAGGGCTGGCTGCATGAGGGTTTATGTCGTGTCTATCTACAACATGGATATGAGCCAGTCTTTCGTGAAGGCATCCTTCCCTTTAGGCAGGTAGCCCTTGCATACTTTTCCATAATCAAATAATACCAAACCAAAAAGGTTCT